CACACACACACACACACACACACACTCCACCTCCACCACTCAAGTGCTCCTTGAGATCTTCTACCCCTGAGGTTTTTTTGGACTGCCTTCAATCTTTCTTTTGGAACGCCCGGGAAGCCTGAGAGAAACCATCATCAGTCAACACAACCTTCTCTCCACCCCTACAAGTGACATTCCTGCCGTCCTCACCCACTTAGGGCCGTAAATAGTAATTCTTTCAACTAACATGTCCTAGAAGGGTTCAGCCAAGTTGCTAAACCCTTTCTCCCTCCCACTCCCACATTGGGCTATTTTTGCTAAGCTCCCAGATTAAAAAAAAAAAAGAAAAGAAAAACAAGAAAAGTTGCCTCATGTCTAAAGAGTCTGATAAGCTGACTGGAGTGTAAACAGGCCCGGCTGGCTCAAATATTTGCTGCGTTGCTGAGTAACTGAACAAAACGTCCCTGCTCCCCAGCATCCGAGGAGGCAAGGACTTGGAGGAGAATTTCAAACAGATGTCCACTGCCCAGAATAAGAGGCATTTCATGCAGCATCGGGGACCACCCAATAGATTGCTCAATTGGCCTGGATCAAATGAACTTTCAGGTCATTGAATCTCAGAGTGCATGGGACCCTCTAGTCCAACCATGCCTGAACAAGGATCCTCTGTACAGCGCCCCAGACCAATGCTCATCTAGCCTTAGCTTGGGGACCTCCAGGGACAAAGAACCTGCAATGTCCAGAGGAGGTCCATCTGTTTGGCAACAGCTCTCACTGGGAAATACTTTCTCTGATTTTCCAGCCTAAATCTGCCTCTTCTGGTCCAGTCCTCTGGGACTAACTAGAAAGAGTCTATTTCTTCTTCCATGTGAAGAAACAAAATGTTTCAAGTCTCAAACTTCTAAGTAAATTAGAACTTAAAAGACCCTAATGCTTTAGCTGATTTAATATGCCACTAGGTGTGGATCAAGGTAAAATACCTGGGTGCCAATACCAGCATTTGCTCCAAGGCACCAGGACACTCCAGGCACTCTGGAAGGTGACCAGATATCATTCAGACCATTTTCATAATTTAATATTATTTGGAGTCTTTGCGATTTAAATACCTTTTCCATGTCCTGAGTCCTTAACTTGTCATGATCCGTCACTACCAATATATCTTTACCTTGTTTACGCTTTCCATTAGATAATCACTTTATTCTCTATTGGAAACTAACACAAGCTTTGTGGTCAAAGGAAATTGTTTAGAATTCTAGAATTCTCTAGTAGTGCCTGGATAGGGCCTAGAACTCCCAGGTTTTTTTTTGTTCTAGAGAACTAGGAATTTTAGTTGGTAAGGGATTGTTGTTGCATCCTTCGATCAAATATTTGTAGTCAAATACAAAAATAGATCTGTCATTTCATTGATTCAGGAATTCCTTCTCATGATGTGGATAGCAACCTGTCCTATGCGACTCTCATACATGTCCTCCCAACATTTTGACATGAGGGGTCCAAGCAACATGTGGACCTTCCTTGCTTTCTTTCAACATCACAAGGGTACTAGTAGAGGTTTTTGGGCATCCACTCATCATCTCTTGCTCTTGCCATGGGACCAGCTCATCTTCTCTTTCTGTCATACAGTTCCCTGATGACCTCCTTCACTCTTGTTCTTCAGAGTTTCTCCTTGGTTATATGTTCCAGCCTGCTCAAAAACATGTGCCTCTCTAACACCCTCTCTCAACTTTAGTTCTTAGGTGACTGTGATGTTCCATTGCTGGCATATGGTGAGACCAGTAAAATGTTCATATTGAAAAGATGGGCCTTTGATTTCATGGGAGGCTTGGGATCAGTCAAAGAACCATGCAATTTCCCTAAAGCAATCCAGCCCACTCTCTTCATTTTCAACTCTGGGCCCAGCTCGTTGTATTGTCTGTCCAAGATACACATACTATTGGACAATCTCTATAGGGTGTCCACTCATAGGTTGAAATGTGGGTATTACATAGACATTCTCCATCCACTTGATCTTTCCTGTGTGGATAGACAGGCCAAACTCTACATTGAGTACAGATTATTGCACGAGGCTCTGTGATGGGTGCTTGAGTGCAATCCATGTAATGTCATTCACAAAGTGGAACATCTGGAGGACCTCACCATCCCCAGAGAATCCTTCCTGGACTCGGTACCAGGTATCCTCCATCATTGCAGTCCCCATGGTACCCCTGTTTTATATCTCTCCTGACATTTATTATAAGAGGATCATTGAACAAGGTCATTCCCATTGTTACGTCTTCCAAGGAATTCCAAAAGATGATAATATATGGATGAGAGATACTTTGTTGCAAAATAACCCAGTATTTATTTATTTTCAAAATATCCAACCAAAAATCTCAGTGGGATCTTATGTTCTCTACATCTTTCAGGCAACTATGACATGATAAAGATGTGGTCCATTGTTGAATATCATTTGCAAAAGCCTTCTTGTTCATGACTAATAGCTTCATAAAGGATGCCCTCAATTTGTGTATAGATGACCCTCATAAAGATTTTGGATAGATGGGAGATTATGCAGATAGGTTAGTATTTTTGGATGCTCTCTTGGTCATCATTTTTTGGCATCATAATTTCTGAGATCTTTTTTTCCATGCCATTGGTATATTCTCCTCCTTTAGAGACCTTGTATATTGGTCTCTCTGTGACATCAAAATTCTATCACCTCTGGCACAGATTTCTTGTATGTATAGACTTGATCCAAACAAGCATGTTTTCCTCATTTTTGTTCTCTTTAGTGCCATCTCTACATCCTTTCTAATTACCTCAGGGACTCTAACATTAGGGTCTAAGTATGGTGGAGCCACAGTCCGTAAAGGAGAAAACAGTTTGTTGCAATCGTTTTTACAAATCTTTTCCATTTTTCTTCTGTTTGTCATCCTCTTTCCATTTTCATCCTCAAATGCCCTTGGGATGACTTTGCTAAGTTGGATCCCTTGCCAAACTTTCTCTAAAATGGTTTTGCCTTACACTGCTTCTCTCTTTTTTCTGAGTCAGTACTGCTCATGAGCATCTATTATCCTTCTTTGTAAGATTTTAAGGATGACTTTATATTCTACAGCAACTTGGTGGCACAGTGGGTAGAATGCTGGACCTGGAGTCAGGAAGACTGAGTTCAAATCCAGCCTTGGACACTTATTAGTTGTGTGACCCTAGACAAGTCACTTCACCACTGTCTGCCTCAATTTCCTCATCTGCAAAATGGTTATGATAATAGTGTTTACCTCCCAAGGTTGTTGTGAGGATAATATTTGTAAAATGCTTTGTAAACTTTAAAGCACTGTATAAATACTAGCACTTAGCACATTGCTTGGCACATAGTAGGTGCTTTGAAAAATGTTTATGTGTGTGTATATATACATATATGTATATGTATATAATGACAAGCTCTCTCTATATGTATATATATGCATGTATAAGCACACATACATAAAACTATAATCTACTGTATCTTTTGGCAGCCATCACTCTCCATTTGGCAAGTAAGGCAAATGTTTTCTGACTAGTGTGCTTTCTGGGCTCATTTGTTCTCTTTATTGTAGAAATTAGTTTATATTGGTTTAACTTCTGGATGAAATTATAATAGTCGGTGACAATGCCATTTCTATCCATTTGCCTTTTTAAAAAATTTCAACTGCTTGTTCAAATAATTAAGGGCTGACTCTCATTTGTATGTCGTATCTTTTTATCATGAGTAGTCCTTCTTGTTTATTTTAAATTCTGGCCTTAGCTCTGACAACTCAATAGTCTTACTGTGCGCAGACAGCTGACTTAAGGATAATTCCTACATTCATAATAAGTCATGTCTGTCAGAATGTAGTCATTTTCATTTTTAGTGAGATTATTTTCTGCTTACCATGTCCAGTGCCTACCAATTTTTTTGGGGAAAGTGTTCATGACATAGAGGTGCAAGGCTTCTGTATAATCTACAAGTCTTTGGCCTCTCTCATTTCTTTCTCCTGAACCGTACTTGATATAACTCATAAATATGTATTCCTAATAGATCAGAGTCCTAAATACAATGCTGAGTGATTCAGTTTATTTGCTTTGACATACGTGGCAGCCTTTCAGCAGCTTGCAGGCAGTGAGCACATCCCACTCTACATCCTCCCTTTTCTAGGCTAAACATCCCCAGTTCCTTCAACTGATTGGCATATTTCATGAACTGGTCACTCTCCTCTTGACAACCCTGCCAATCTTGAGATCCTAGAGCAACAATAATACCTGAGGTTGGACACAAGGGTCTAGGATGCTAATCCTTCTCCCTCTCTACTAAGGGGTCCCTCCTCTCGACTCTGGATGCATTCGGTCACAGACCAGAGGAGTTTGACACCTAAAAAGAAGAGCCAGGCTCTTTTCTCGTACTCCCTGATTCTTTATAAGGTCTGTTTTGTTGATGAGTTGTTTCAGTCGTGTCTGACTCTTCATGACCCCATTTTGGGTTTTCTTGGCAAAGACACTGAAGTGGTTTGTCATTTCCTTCTCCAGCTCATTTTATAGATGAGAGGCTGAACTGGGGCAAACAGGGTTAGGTGACTTGCCCAGGGTCATACAGTTAGTAAGTGTTTGGGGCTAGATTTGAACTCATGTCCTCCTGACCTCAGGCCAGTTCTCTATCTACTTTACCACCTAGCTGTCTTCAAGCCTTGGGGGAAATTATTTAAAGTTTAGGTTTTGGCTTGTATTTAAAGTCCCTTTAAAGGGAGGAATAGAAAAGCATTCAGTGTACATATAGGACAGCTATTTATTTCTTCTAAACACAAAAGACTCACAAGTGTGCATTGACAGAAAACAAAGAAGCAACAATAATAACTTATAACTACTATTATACTCTCCTGAGAGGTTGAGACAAAACCATCAAAACATAAAGCAATTTATGAGATTGCTGAATAGCCATTTTTATATTTCACCTTGTCTCTGCACTGTCCAAACAATTCCCTCTAGGTACAAGTCTTCTTACTAGCCCAGTCAGGAGCTGAGCTCCTTACCCCGTTGGTAGTTAACCTCTCTGATGCAGAAACTCCCCTCAGCTGCAAGTCGGCTCCAAACAAAGGACCCAGGATCTCCAGAACTCTTGAGCTCCCAAGGTTGCTTCCAAGGCTGGATACAATCATCTTGGGAATGCCATTTGGTCATCTCTAATCAGGAAAGAAATAAAACAGAAACAGTAGCTAAGGGCCCACAGATCAAGCTCAGGCTTGCCTAAGGCCACACACATGCTGCTACCATGTGTTCACAGTTCAACATTTCTGCCCAGATGAAGGAAGAATACCAACCACATCCCATCTCAATCCTTCAGGGAGAGACTCAAAGATTCCTGCTATGCTCATTATCTGGAAAGAGAAGAGGAGTTTCAGCTTTAAAAGCTCACTGAATCAGCAACCCTTCCTGCTCTGTGGCCAAGAAAGGGATTTCTTTGTCATCTAAAAGCACCAAGCCTTTCAATACTGAGTCATATGTGTCCCCAGAAGCTATCGGAGAAACTCAGCATGTCCTTTATAGGATAAGCCATATAGTGCCATTCCCACACATATTCCATGGAATACAACCTAGGATTGTAGGCTCCAGTCTAAGGAACATAGGGGAGGACCAATAGGTTATTTGTCTTTTGGAAAAGGAGAATGTCCTTTGGGGGGAGGGGAGAAGTAGGAGGGAGCAAATATGGCCTAAATTCCAAGAAACTCACCCCAGGGGCTTGGGTTCCTTCCAAGAATGACAGCTCCAACTTGGATGCTCAACCTTAAGCAATGTCTGGCTTTGGTGGCTTCACAAAAAGCCCTTTCTCACACCAGTCCTAGATATTTCTTCTGAGCCCCATGTATCCTTTGGGTCCCATGCAGAGATTTTAAATAAGGTGTGCAATCCATCAATCCACTGGAAAATCATTGAGGCCATTCCATTGGGCATGGAAAGCCCTAGACTAGGAACAAAGAGTTTCCCCCTCAGCCCTGTCATATTACAGAGTATTAAGCTGAGGCCCAGAGAGGGCAAGGTGCTTGTCCAAGGTCACACAGAGAATTCATGGCAAAGCTAGGACTAGATTCTAGGTCTATAAACTTCGAGTTTGGGATCTGGCTGTTGATGAGATAACGGATATAGAGCATTCTGCAAACCTTAAGGTCAGCTATTATTATTAACAAAGGTCACACAATCATTAGTGACAATTCAAACCCAAATCCTCTGACCTTAAGCCTCTCTTGCAGATGATATTTCCTTTGAACATTCTGTATTCTCTCTCTTCAACTGTGTGAGCCCCAGGACATTTAATTGTCTAAAAAATACCAAAAATGTTGTTAATACTATAATTAACATCAACAACAACCCCCAGAAAGAGATAATGTAATAGTGTCTCTATTTTACAAAAGAGGAAACTGAGTCTCTGAGAGACTGACTTGAATGACTTAACCAGAATTACACAGCAAGGTAGTATTGGAACTAGACCTCAATCTCCAGCATTTTGCTTCCAAAGTCAATGATCTTTCTCCTGTACCATGGTGACATTAGAGGATGACAACCAGATCCCAAAATAGAAGTCCACAGATACCATACTTGGAGCCAGAAGACCGGGAATGGAATCCAAGCTCTGATCCTCACCAGCCAAGTGACCACATAAAAGCTACTTCCCATCTGAGTCTCACCTACAAAATGGGCATGGGAACATTTGCATCCATGACCTTCAGAAACTATAAAGCAATAGAGAAGTAGGACCAGTTGATATCTCATAGGGAATTACAGTTGGAGTAGGAAAACCTGCAAACCTTGAGTTTGAATCCCAGCTCCTACTAATCCCACCCACTCATCTTAACCCCAGCCACTTACTAAGTGCAAGTCCTTCCCCCTCTCTGGGCTCATCTCCTCTTCTGTAAAAGGAAGGCATTAGGCTCAATGATCTCTGAGATCTCTTTTTGCTAAATTGTCTGCGATTTGTGACCCCCTACAGAGTGCTAGAATGAAGAGACTGGAAACTTTGCACTAGGATTCCAACAACTAGAACTCCACTTCTTCAGTGGGGAGGCAGAACCAAGCCTCTTCCCCATGGTTATCCACCCCCACATTTCCTGTCTCCATCCTAGCCAGCCCCAGGTACTAATATCTCTGAGCTGCAGGTCATGTTTCAATCATGTCACTTTCAATTCCACTCCCCATCCCTGCTAACACTTGCAGGGGTCATGCTGCCTGCCACTCAATGCAACTGCACCTGTGTTTGGACTTTGTTCCTTGCCTCTTCTACCACCTCCTTCCAGTTAGACTATTCTACAACAGCTTCCTTCCCACCCCCAACTCCCCACTGATTGTCCTTTGGACTGCCACCCTCAGCCCAACTGGATTTATCCCCAGGCATAACAATGCCTAGTTCTAACTCTGCTGGAAGTGGAGGGAGGTATGTTAGGGCCATGAGGTTGAGGAGAGATACTCCTGTGGGAAATAGGTCTGGGAGTACTGACCAACCTCAGCCTAGTCCTAGACTGAATCAGGCAGAGAAAGTGCTGAGTTGAACATTCTAGGGAAGGAGCCACAACTCAGCACTTTTCCAGCCTAGCAGTTGTGCGGAGTTGATGAGGGATTTTATTTGGTTTTCATTTCTCATATGTCTGTGCATAATTGTTCTTTCCATGCCTTGATTTTTGGTCTTAAAAAGGCCCAGATCAGACTTCCGGTGCCAAGATGGCAGAATGAGAAAGGCCCTCCCTGAAGCCTTCCCAAATTCCTTTCCAAACAACCTTGAAAAACTGCTCAGGGAGGTCTTGAGGTGGAGCCAAGATGGCGGAGGGAAAGCAGTGACTGTCTTGAGCTGTCTCCCAAAGCCCTCCAAATACCTATAAAAAATGGCTCTAAACAAATTCTAAAGCAGCAGAACCCACAAAAATACAGAGTGAAACAAATTTCCAGCCAAAGACAGCCGGGATAGTTGATCAGAAAGGTATATCTCACTGGGCGGGGAGAGGAGCACAGCTCAGCGTGGATGTACAGACTGTAGCAACCCTGGAGCAGGCCTCAGAGGGCTGAATCTCAGGCAGCTGTGGCAGTTTCCAGACTTCTCAACCCACAGACACCAAAGACAACTTAGAAGGTCAGTGGGAAATGTCTGTGACTGCGGTGAGAGAGGAGCTAGGTCTCAGCTGCAAGTCTCAAGCACGGCCCGGGGCCACGGCTTTTTCCTGAGCTTCTGGCCCACAGACTGAGGGGGAATCAAGTGGCTGATCAGAAGGGGATTGCAGGGATCTCTTTGCCAGTGCTGAGGCAGGAATCTCTTGCTATACTAGTGCTTGGATCTGGGTCGCATTTCTGAGGGGCAGTCCTGGGGCGAGGAGGAACACTGGTGTGGTGAAGCTTGTTGTGGTGGGGGAGAGAAAACACCTTGCCCCTTATCATACCACCTTGGAAGAACTGAAAATTTACAGGTCCCTAGAAGTACCTCTGAAAACAGCTGTACGAACCCCTGAAGCTTGGGACAGTACACTCTTCACATTGGAAGCAGACTTTTACCTTAACAAAGAGTTTAAAACTCCCAGGATCATGAGTAAGCAGCACAAAAAGAGTCAGACTATATTATCTTACTTTGGTGACAAAGAAGATCAAAACATAATCAGAAGAAGACAACAAAGCCAAAGCTCCTACATCCAAACCCTCCAACAAAAATATGAATCAGTCCCAGGCCTTGGAAGAGCTCAAAAGGGATTTTGAGAAGCAAGTAAGAGAAGTAGAGGAAAAACTGAGAGTGATGCAAGAAAATCATGAAAAACAAGTCAACAACTTGTGAAAGGAGACCCAAAAAAATACTGAAGAAAATAACACCTTAAAAAATAGCCTAACCTAAATGGCAAAAGAGGTCCAAAAAGCCAATGAGGAGAAGAATGCCCTAAAAAACAAAATTGGCCAAATGGAAAAGGAAGTCCAAAAGCTTACTGAAGAAAATACTTCCTTGAAAATTAGAATAGAGTGATTGGGAGCTAGTGACTTTATGAGAAATCAAGACACTGTAAAACATATCCAAAAGAATGAAAAATTAGAAAACAATGTGAAATATCTCATTGGAAAAACAACTGACCTGGAAAATACATCCAGGAGAGAGAATTTTAAAATTATTGGACTGTCTGAAAGCCATGATCAAAAAAAGAGCCTAGGCATCATCTTTCAAGAAATGATCAAGGAAAACTGTCCTGATATTCTAGAACCAGAGGGCAAAATAGAAATTGAAAGAATCCACCGATCTCCTCCCAAAAGAGATCCCCAAAGGAAAACTCCTAGGAATATTATAGCCAACTTCCAGAGTTCCCAGGTCAAGGAAAAAATATTACAAGCAGCCAGAAAGAAACAATTCAAGTATTGTGGAAACACAATCAGGATAACACAAGATTTAGCTGCTTCTACATTAAGGGACCACAGGGCATGGAATATAATATTCCAGAGAGCAAAGGAGATAGGATTACAATCAAGAATCACCTACACAGCAAAACTGAGTATAATCCTGCAGGGGAAAAAATGGTCATTCAGTGAAAAAGAGGACTTTCAAGCACTCTTTATGAAAAGACCAGAGTTGAATAGAAAATTTGATTTTCAAATACAAGACTCGAGTGGAACATGAAGAGGTAAACAGGAAAGAGAAAATCATAAGAGACTTATTAAAGTTGAACTGTTTACATTCCTGCATGGAAAGATGATATTTGTAACTCATGAGACCTTTGTCAGTATTAGGGTAGTTGGAGGGGAAAAAATTATATGTATGTATATAGAGATATAAATAGATAGATAGAGGGTACAGGGTGAGTTGAAAATGAAGGGGTCATATCTGGAGAATAAAATTAAGGGGTGACAGAGGAATATACTAGGAAATGGAGAAAGGAAGAGGTAGAATGGGGTAAATTATCCCACAAAAAAAAACCAGAAAAGAAAAGGCTCTTACAGTGGAGGAGAAATGGGGGAAGGTGAGAGGGAATGAGTTAATCTTATTCTCATAGGATTTGACTTAAGGAGGGAATAACATACACACTCAATTGGGTGTGGAAATCTGTCTTACCCTACAGGAAAATAGGGGGGGAAGGGGACAAGAGAGTATGGGGATGATAGAGAGGAGGGCAGATTGGGAAATGGAGTAATCAGAAGCAAATACTTCTGAGGAAGGTCAGGGTCAAAAGAA